ATATGCCTTAAAAAAGAAAACAAAATAAAAACAGTGTGGCGGTGTGGCATTGACTGGGTGAAAGAATTTTGGACCAGTGAAAAATCCAAACGGGCCTGCCTATATTCCTCTCTTTCATTAGTTGACGACTCAACAGGGCTGCACCTTCTCACTGTTTCAAAGCATACAGGGATGAAAAGACAGCAATGAAACTAATGAAGAATCTGCCAGGAGTGGTGGCTCACGCCTGTAATCCCAGCACCTTGGGAGGCTGAGGTGGGTGGATCACCTGAGGTCAGGAGTTTGAAACCAGCCTGGCAAACATGTGAGGCTGTGAACATGTGAGACAGTGAAACCCTGTCTCTACTAACAATATAGAAATTAGCTGGGTGTGGTGGCGGGTGCCTGTAATCCCAGTTACTCGGGAGGCTGAGGCAGGAGAATCGCTTGAACCTGGGAGGTGCAGGTTGCAATGAGCTGAGATCTCGCCACTGCACTCCAGCCCGGGAGACAGTGTGAGACTCCATCTCAAAAACAAACAAATAAACAAACAAAAAAACAAAAAACAAGCCCTGGCGTGGTGCCTTACGCCTGTAATCCCAGCACTTTGGGAGGCCAAGTTGGGCAGATCACGATGTCAGGAGTTCGAGACCAGCCGGCAAACATAGTGAAACCCCCGACTCTAACAAAAATGCAAAAAAATTAGGTCATGGTGGCGGGCGCCTGTAATCCCAGCTATTTGGAAGGCTGAGGCCAGGAGAATCACTTGAACCTGGGAGGCGGAGGTTGCAGTGAACCGAGATCACGTCACTGCACTCTAGCCTGGGCGACAGTGCGAGACTCCGCCTCAAATAAAAAGAATGCCAGTATCAAAGAAGGCCAGGCTGAAGCCAGAAAGTGTCTGAGATGAGCTGGGGAGACAGGTGGGACAGATCTTGGAGAGCTTTGTTGATCTAGTTAAGGATTTTGGCTGTTGTTCTAAGTGTAATTGGAAGCTAATGAAGGGTTTCAGGCAGATGCGCCATAGGATCTTACTCCCAATTAAGAGGGAAAAGGTCAAGGGAGAGAGCCTACACAGGAGACAGAGTCATACAGAAAGATGATCTGGGCTTTGAACAGATTAGAAGAGCTGTAAGAGTGGATTAATCAGGAGGCTATGCCATTAGTACAGGTGGTAGATAATGGTGGCTTTACCTGGGTGGTTGCAACATACAGATAAATGGAGATATATTTGGGAGACAGAATTGACAGGACTTCATTAACTGATATGGCAGTGTAGAGAAGGAAGTGCCTTGAATGGTCAGCTACAGCAATTCATGTGGGGGATGTTCATTGAGATGGGAACTCTGTACATGGAAGACTGGGGGAAGATCACGTGCTCAGTTTCTTGAAATGCCGATCTGGAGTGCCAGAAAGCCCACATAAACGTTGAGGGCCTGGCTAGAAAAAGGAATTAGATGTCAGAGAAGAGCTAGAGATTTTAATTTGGGAGTCTTTACCCAGGTCAAGGCACTTTTTAAAAAAAAATTTAACACCCAGGAAGGTCTAAACAAAGTGTTGTACATTTCAGACCATTTTAATTCTTGTTTAATCTATATAGTATGACTCTATTTTCATAGTTTTCTCTGAAACATTTTGTTTTTCATGTATATCACTAACCACAACCTCTGCGTTGTTAACAAAAATCCCTAAGGCTGAAGTAGCTGAATACCACATATCTGTTTGACAGTAAGGAATCTGGGGTGGTGATCTCAAATCCTTACTAAACAGGTTGGCTATGTGGTGCTTTGGGTAAAACGTACTTTTGATCCAGGTAGCTATGAAAATAATCTAGCATTTTATGTGCTTGTGCACTTTGAAGAGCGCTTATCTAACTTTTCCTCAAACCACTGATTTGTTATAGTGCAGAGCTCATCTGGGGAACCAGTAAGCTCTTAAAAATAAGCTTTTTAATCAAAAGGACATTACTATTTTTCATTACAGCTGCCCTGTATAAAATTAGTATCCATATCGCGTCTGTAATTCAAATGCCTTTGTCTTCTTTCTTGTACCTAGTAAACGATTACAAAGGAAATGTCACTTCACCTAAGACTTAGTTGCCAAGGTTTTTTTTTTTTTTTTTAAAAAAAGAGACATTTTTCTCAAAGTTGTTCTAACCACGCAGCTTTGTGCTGTTTCAAGTTGCTCAAACTGTGCCAGAAGGAAGCCCTTAACTGCTTAAAAGGCCAAGGACTGAAACGGAGTATTGCACAACCCTTCACCACCGGGCGGTTTCGCTTCCAAATCTGGCCTTCGTGTCATCCCAAGGCGGGAGCCGCTCCTCGCTCCACTGGAGCCAGCCCTATTCCCCCTTCAAAAGCAGCCGGGGTTTCCTCGTCCAAGCCTGGGGCGCCCCTCCCTTCGCCCAAGGTTCCCGTGAAAGCCGAGCCGCGCGGCTGCGAGGAGGCCCCATTGTCCAGCTGGAGAGACCGAGTCTCGAGGGGCGACTCTCGCACTCAAGTACCGCCGGTCCGGCAGACCAAAGGTCCGCGGGTCTCCACGCCGCTCCCCTCCCCCGCGGCCCCATTGTCTGCCTCGCCCCGCCCCGGGGGACACGTGC